CATTTAATTACTGTCACAAGCCAGTAACCCAGGACCCACGCTTCTGCAATATTTTGTCATGCTTCTATGATTCCTATATAGGTTGTGCAACACATTACTCACTGGCTAACTTTATTTTTGTACCACCAGAGCGCTTGCTTCCATGCTTTTCAGGGTTTCTTTTAACCAGTTTTCCTTGTTTCCTTGTGCCAGAGATGTTCTATATTTGGTAAAGCCATTCTCTTACCACAGCTTCTTACTATGTTCACCACTTCTCTTACTACTTCTAGATATATTGCATACAGCTGTCCTCCTAATCAAGATCCCAATACCGCCTTAGGGTTGTTGGTGCTACCTTGCCAATCGTGGATTTACACACACAACCTTCTGCAGTATTTCCTTCTGTGACTCATATCACATGCAGTGCCTGATCTTCTCCATAGCTCAGAACTCCTTCCAAGAATTCTTTATCGGCCAAATATGTACTTCACATAGTCTTACTGCCACAGGGTTTCGTATTCAAAAGCCCCCGAAGGTTACAGAGATAATTAATTAAATTAATTACCACTAGCTGTAATTGAACCGTCGACCTTGTCTATAGAGGGTTAGGCGCCTGGACCACTAGGCTACAGGACTCTAACCCATAGTAATAGTTTGAATTAGTTTTATATTCTAAAACTATATATTATTTATTAGACTGAAATTAATTTCTCTAAGCCAACAGATAAAGAAATTATAATAAATCTAATTATAGAACAATGCAAGCTTTTGTTTTTACGTACACGAAATCCTACTAGAAAAGTATATGAAAAATTGATTATGAAGATTGTTTCATCAATAGATCCAATAACTAAAGATTTTAAAATACTATATCGGAAAATACGTGAATACTTTAATAATTTTCAATGTATGTTTAATAAGGATATGATAGCTCTTGCCAAGAATTTACTTGTTAAAAACTGGTACGTATAGAATATAAGATATAAATATTTAATATTAGATAATGTGTTTTAAATTAATTAATATAGATGAATTAATATTAATATTGATATAATTGCAGTGATCCAATAAACAAAAATATTGAACAATTCATTACTAGTAGAGTTTGGCGACAAAAACTTAGCAAATACCTTGAAGCTAGTGACTTCTCAGAGTTTAAAAAATCTCAATCTTCACTCAAGTCACTTGAAAATTTTATTGCTAAAAGTTTAAAAATTCATATTGATTTTCAGATTGCAGTTTGTAATAAAGAAAAACTGTCTGATGATCACTTGGTCCAAATTTTTCCGAAAAAACTACTTAACAAAAACAGTAAAAACTGACTTCTTAGCTTATAAGTCGAAGAAAGAAGGGACTGTAAGATAGCAACTGTTGTTTAGAGATAGTTCTCATATGCTACCTGCTGACAGTTTCAGAGTTTATCACTTACTACAGACCTGGCGCTTGTCGTTTAGAGGTAGTTTTCATATGCTACCTGCCAACAAGTTCAGAGTTTATCACTCACCGACAAAATTCGAGTAGTGCACTGTCTGGAGGAAGGCTGTCTTTGTTTTTTTTAGTAACTCACTCTCTTTTAAGTGGTATCAAGAGGTTTCTGCTTCGTTTTCATTTTCTGCCATTCTTACCAAAATTTTTGACAAAAAGTGGGCTTTTTAGCTTACCCCTCCAAAAGATCAGCATTGTTTATACCTACCAAATCAGGACAAACTTAGTAGAAGACAACCACATGTTTTGTTGTTTTGCGAATACAGTGCTACGGTACAGGAAAGAGATCTACACCCCCGTTTAGAAGATACCTGAGTCAAGTCAGTGCCCGGAATGAGTCCCAAAGCTAAACCGAAGATTTACAATCGAGATATAGTAATTAGTTGCAATTATTATATAATTTTTACTCTTATGTCTGGCACGGGCTATAATAGTGTGTCATGG